ACGCAAATAAAGGAAAACTGTTTTGCAGAAGTTGAAATCTTACGAGGAACGTAATTTTATCTCGCCACACCAGAGGATAACGAGAGAGACCCGAGATAATTCTCTGTCGTAAATATAAATCAAGGACAGAATAAACAAACAGCATAAGCAAATTCATTATGAACAGTTTTCCCTAAAAAACCAAACTTAAACACGTAAACAGGATAAATGTCCCAGATATTTAATGAGAGAAATAAATTTGTGCCACAATAAGGTTTTTTTTTAATATTCTGAGTCAACAACAAGTTTTTAGAGAAGAAACAAAACATAAGTTGAAGTATGAATTACGAGAACAAAGGAGTAAGGAATACCCAAGAACGAGAAACCGACATATTTGAACGCGGGAAATTATGACAGCCGTGAAGCGAATTTCATACAGCCGATGTCGTGTTACTGGGGGTTCCCAGGATAAAAAGCACTTAAAACCCACGAGTAAGCCATAAAATTGATACAAAATCATAAAACCACTTGAACGTATTATAAAGCTCCATAAAACATACACTGAAAATTAATCGGAATTCACATTAAAACAGACACAGCACGGAAATAAAATGTTTTCTGTTCGTAACTGAAACAGCGGTAGAGCATAATCGTGATTCGATGTGGCAAATGGCATTTCGTAATCTGTTTTCCGGTAACGAAATTATGGTTTCCAGAGTAAACGTCATGTTCCATGCGTATTGACTCCAGGAATTGCCTGTAATTTCACCCCTAAATCAGTTTAACCTCGACCTGTGTCAGAAGGAGCCATGAACTGCAAACTCTTGCAGACTGAATGCCTATTGACAGGGGAATCAAGTTAGTGTTCCATGCACTAATCTGTAGAGTGGTTTGGTTTTGGCAGTGCTGTCTCAATGACGAATTCACGTAGTGTAAAAATAACAGACGTTTCGATAGGCTTTCAACGATGGAACATGAACTACAGAGGCTATTAAGTGTCGAATAACACGAGAAGATGATTATGCATGGTGATGAACAATTGGGTAAATTATCACAGAGGTAAAACTTTAATTTAATTTTCAGATCTCCGCTCGGTTACTCGGAGGTTAAAGGATTTTCCTCAGTCTCTAAATGCGGAAGCCAAAATTTTACTTTTAACAGGCCAAAAAACCAATTCGCTCTTGGCCATCTCAAAGAGTGCTGAAATGACTTGCGAATCTACTACATGTGTCAGCAAAGCCTTCTTGATCCCAGTGTCCGTTCTCCGCTCTCAAATGTTTCCGTATTGATCTCAAAAAGCATTGTCGCAAGGGGGCCCCTGGGGGGGGGGGGGGGGGCTTTGCCTTATGACGCATCAGCGATTGTTATGGCATTGTCACAGTCCCGGCATGATTGATCGTTTAGCCACATCGTGCGTCAGTAAATATCATTTCGCACTTCATGTGGAACTCGGAAATTAAAAACGGATTAAGCTGACTCACGAGTTAATTTCCGAATGTGATCCCTCACAAAACTGAGGGGGCGAGACGACTTTCAGTGCCGTATGTGACAAGACGGAGGAGGAGGGAGATTTGAAAGGGATGCGACTGGAATCCTCTCAATAATTCAGGACACACATCGAAATTCTGCAAGCCACAACGTGTTAGTACGCGTCTGTTCGGTTTATCTAATTCAGCCGCGGTCATATAAACTGGCGGTCCGAGAACCCGATCCGGCCCGCAAAATTATTTCTCACCATTTCCTCGCTGCCGAATCGTCTGTTCGTTTCTACGCGCGATGTATTTTTCAATAAAATATATATCTGAGCGCACACTACGGTAACGTCATTTCTGAACTAGCGTTGTTAAAGATTATTAGTTTTCAAACACAGTCCAAGGAACGGTTTCTCGACGCTTGGATGCAACGGAAAAATTATTCTTCGTCCTAGGGAAGAAAAAAGTTGGACAACCCTGCTGTAAGTTGTGACTTAACTTCACGGCGCAGAACCATTCTTGGAAGTTGACAGCGCATCTGATGTTCAAAAAATTCAGCGTCTTTTACGACAAGGCGCGTATCATAACCAACCAACCAGATGGCTTACGGAACCCGAATGTTCATCACCGAATTAACCAAAGCCCTCCACCGGACCCTGTCCTGGGCCAACAAAATCCAGTCTCCTTCGACTCCTATCTCCCATAGATCCCGCCTGACATTAT